GGTGGAGGGGAGGAGGGGAGGAGGGAGAAGAACACTGGGAGATAAGGGTAAATCCACCATTCAATTTTGACCTATAATGGCATTTTAGCCAGCAAACTATTTCATGTAAAGGTAAATAAGTCATTCAACTTGCACAAACAACAGCATTTTAGTTCATTAACCATGTCTAAGGGTAACTTGCATTATGTAAATTACTTTAGACATGACAACTTGTTATTTCTAAAAGAATCTTGTATTATGAAACTACTTTTTGGCTTGTTAGCAAGCACCAACCACAACAAAGTGTGGATGGCACGAATATATAAATTAATAGGCAATGCATATAATGCAATGGGTGTCTTTGAAGATAGGACAATCTAGGGGTTTTAGGATTTTCTAAAAAACAAATGTAAGAATGCAAATATAAAAGAAATCTCAAATGTTGCTTAACTTGGACTACAGATGCAAATATACAATAGACAAAGTTTGAAATAAGCCAAACCGACGGTATTGTTCCACACAGTGAAAAATGTGCCAGGAAAAACTAAAAAATAAGTCAAATACAGCTTTTTTCAATGCACAATTAATTTATCTTCTACAATTCCCATGATTTGCAAACTATGCTTATATGATATCCTATGATGCTTTCTACAGTTAAAAGTACATTTTGACGTATTTAGCATACCTAACTCTTCTTTCAGCATGCTAATTAATGAAAGACGAATGGCAGTAGTCAATAACTAAGACTAATTGGCAACTGCACAACAAAATCCCTAACAAGACAATAGCAAAAATGGAACCTGTGCTGTGTTTGGCAGCATGGGATTGACAGTCATGAAATTGGCATTTAGGCAAAATTAGTTTAAAAATTCAAGTCATTGCAATCCCCGCCTTCCAAATCCCACTTCCAATGCTTAAAAGTCAATTTGCCCAACTGCAGTGTTAAGGGAAGTACCTTAGACTCAAGGCAAAAATCTTGAACAGATTTTCTAACGAGGTAGCATCTGTTGGTGGGTTTTTGTAGGCGGAATCCACCAATGGAACAGAACCAACCATCAGAACAGAAAAGGCGGTCTCTAGAAGAAACTTTTGGAGGTTGAAAGCACTGGAAATTTGCAACTGCCATCAGAGGCGTACTTGCAAAGTCTGTTATTGTCTTCAAAATAAGATGAGGTCAGTCCTGCGGAACAAAAGATAAAAAGTTCTTAAAACTGCTATATTCGAGACTAAAACCAGAAGTACTTGAGCCGTTTGAAGGAAATGCAAAATTAAATACTTGTAGAAGAAACAAACCGGGCACCCCTATTCTCTAGCAAGCAGACTAACATAAACAGGTGCATTAACGAACATCTCGCATGCAAAAAATACCCAAGTCAAAAACCACAAACTTGATCACTGTCACTTTGCAATAACGACAGATTCGTGTGTCATATGGAAATGAATTTGGTAGGGCTATCTTCTTGAGCCAGAGGCTGTGCGTTTGATTTGATGAATTGCAAAATACAAAAATTGTATTCCTAAATTGCAAAAATTAACAGCTAGGGCTGTTGAGTTGATGAATTTTTATGTGTGCGCTCATGTGGCTTTGCGTGTCGGCTGTTTGTGTGGTGTATGTGAGTGTAAATCTCTCTCTCTCTCTCTCTCTCTCTCTCGGTGGTTGAGGCGTGAATCTGCGTGAGTGTGTGTTGTGTGCAATGTGGGTTCTGTGGGTGTGTTAGCCTGAGAACATAGGAATTAGGGGGGAGGGAAAGGAGCAGAGAGAGGAAGAGGCTGTTACTTGAGCGAGATGCTGTTGGTGTTGATGGTCGCCGGAAGACGTTGAGGTGGGTGGCGTCGACGGTGCTTTGAGGTGGCTGGTTGGACTGGAGAGAGGGAGGGGGAGAGGGAGAGGGAGAGTCGGATGGTGTGGGAGGGCGTGAGTCACACGTGTGAGAAAGGAGATTTAAAATATTTTACCATTGGATTGAATTAAGTTATAATATTGGATCCAAAATTCATATTCAAACCAGAAAATAAATGAGATAAGTTGGGCTCTTAGATATTATTTTTTTCAATTCTATGAAATATATTTTGATAACATAATATATTATAATTAATAATTTTACGACATAATGTAGGGTAATTCTTTTTAAAACCTTGGTTGTTTGTCTGTATGCCTTTCTCTGCTCCGTTTGACATAATCCTTTTCTTTTATATTCTCCTCGTCTTTGATTGGAAAATTTGTTAAATTAGCATAACAAGTTTCGATGGAAGGATATATCATCAAATGTGGCATATGACTACGTATTATCATCTTTTTTTATTACGAAATTGATTTAAATTGAATATTTTAATTTACTTTATCTATAGTCATTGGTTAAAAAATAATAAAATAATAAAGTACACATATTATATTCTTATTGAATGAAAAATAAAATATTTGGGGTATGATAATTGAATCCTAAAATCCGATCTCTCAAATCTTTCACTTAATTTGTCAAAAAAATAAAAAAAGTCTTTTAACTTAAGTAAAAAATGACATTAGGACAGGAGTTTGAGTTGATTCAAAGAAATTAGGATGGACCATTGAATTAAAATTGCGAGTTTGACTATGGTATTGAAAAATAATTTTTTATATTATAATTTTTAGTTTTTCATATAAAAAAATATGGCACATTTTTTTAACCAATGATTAGAAATCACCCAAATTAAAACCTATTGATATAATCAATTTTAATTTTTTTTTTTATCTTTTAACCATTATAAATGTAATATGTGTAAAATTTTAATTATAATTTTTTTTGGTAGTTAATGACTACAAATTAATTACATTAAAATTTACAATTTAGATCAATTTCGGTACAATATGGATGCTAAAACTTTAGTCATATTTTAAATTTGATGCTATTTCCTCCCCGCAAAATTTGCCCTTTGTTACCAACAGAAAAAAAAAAAAGAAAAAAGAAAAAAAAGAATTTTTGCCACGTTATTTTAGCCGTTAGCTTCCGTCAAAGTTCCAACAGTGCCGATTTCTTCAAGATCATCATACACACACCGCAGGATCGAATCCACGTGGTATGGATATTTAAAATTCCGCCCACCTGACTCATTCGGTAATATTTCTGATCCTACCTTACATAATAATTCTGCCTCTGCATTTTTTTGACCGACTAATGGATTTTTTTTTTTAATTTTCATTAAATATTGGATAGAAATACAGAATAATCATAAAATTTTTGTATTATTACCCGATCTGCCTGTACATTCATTTTTTGTGAAAAATAATATGTGTGTTATAAAGCGATGTTGTTTTATGAAACAAAAACACCGTTTAGAAAACATATGACTTGTAATTGTATTTTATTTATGGTGTTTTAGATTATT